GCCGGTGACCCCTCCGAGGGGGATTTTGCAGTTTTTGGGGTGCAAAAAGCCCCCCTGGGAGCTTCGAGCGATGCCCCAGGCTGAGTTTCACATCGTGGCCGGGGGCTGCTGCATCCCCCTCCAAAATACAAACATTTCCCTGTTTCGGGGGAAGGTGGAGGGTGCAACCGCCGCGGCGCTGCTGGCCATGGCGTCACCTCCCGGCACCGGGTGTTTTAGCTGCTTCCCTGGCCCCAGTCCAAGCTCAAGCGCTTTTCAGCAGCAGGTTTTGCTCTTTGTTTCCTTAAAGCCCGGCTCAAGCAGCAGCTTGGGGCTTTTATTTTCCTTAACGCATCCAAACCCACTGCACCATCGCTGCCGACAGCATCCCATCCTCTCCCGCTGGCCCTGGGCTGGGTTTTTCCCTTTCACCCTGGGGATGGACCCCTGCTTCCCTCCTTGCGGGTCAGGATTTGTGCTCCTTGGCCCATCGCCCGTGGCCTCTAGCACTGGGGTGGAGCGATGCGAGCTGCAGCCCGCCCGACCATTGCAGCTTCGCTTCGCTCTTAGGGGGATGCAACCGGTCAGGGCTTGCTGCCGGCGCTGCCGCGGGGTGAAATGTGAATATTTGGGAGGCCTCACGCCAAAAAAAACCCCCGAACAGCTCCAGGGTTTTGCTGCGATGGCGTATTGCAGGAGTTGTTGTAACTGCATTTTGTCCTTTTTTGCAGGATTCGTTGCAATTGCATTTTGCAGGGTTTGTTGCAATTGAATATTGCAAGATTTGGTGCCAGTCGCAGGGTTTCTTGCAATTCACATCGCAGGATTTGTTACCGTTTCATATTGCAGGACTTGTTGCATTTCGCGTCGTTTGATGCAATTGAATACTGTAAGATTTTGTGCATCTTGCAGGGCTTGTTGCAATTAATATCGCGGGATTTGTTGTAATCGTGTTTCGTAGGGTTTGTTGCCCATTGGCGGACTTGTTACCCATTGACGGACTCGTTGCCGTTCTAATTTGCAGGATTCGTTGCGTATCGAAGGATTTATTGCAATTGCCTGCTGCAGGATTTGTTGCCATTGCATTTGGCAGGTTTCGCTGCATTTTGCAGGACTTGTTGCAACTGCACGTTGCGGGATTCCTTGCGTATTGCGCGATTTCTTGCACGCGGCAGGATTTGCACCGCCTGCGGATGGCCGTTATTGCAGCAATGCCCCCCTCCTGGGGCTCTCACTGGGCTTTCCCCCCCCACTGCCCCCCCAGATCTGCCCCCAAAGACGCCGTCGCCTTCCACGTGCAGGGGACGCCGGGCGTGAAGCTCTACGTGGTGCACGAGACGCAGAGCGTCAAGTTGCCCTCCAGCGTGGGTCGCTGGCCCCTGGCCACCGGCACCGAGGTGCTGCTGACCATGGATGCTCTCAGCAAGGATGTGGGCGATGAAAAGGTGGGTGCTGGGGGGCCAGCAGGATCCGGCCCTTCTTTGCACGGTGGTGAGCACCCGCTTCTTGTTGCAGGTCAGGATTTCTTATTTTGGGGAGGCCGGCGGGGTGCCCGTGGGCAGAGCCATGCTGTACCTCACCTGCGTGGGTAAGTGGGGGGGGGAACCCCCAAACCGTGGCGCCGGTGGGGATGCACACCCCCCCCCCCAGCATCCCTCTCCCCACAGAGGTTTCGTTGGACACCGACGCCAACCGCAGCGGGGCGGTGAGCAGGACGCTGCTGGATAAGGTATAAAGGGGGGGTGGGAGCCCCCCGGGACCACCGTGGGATGGAGGGGGTGATGGCTGACACCCCCCAACCCCGCTTCATCCTCCCCAGGCAACGTGGACGTGGGGTCCCGACGGACACGGGGCCATCCTGCTGGTGAACTGCGACCGCGACGATCCCAAAGCCAACCTGCCGGATAACCGCGACACTGCCGTCCGCTCCTACGCCGGTACCGGCACATCCCATACAAGAAACCCCCATTTCCTATTTCCCCCCCCCCTAAATTTCCTTTCTTACACCCTTTCCCCCCCAGACCTGAAGGACATGTCGCAGATGGTGCTGCGGACCCGAGGTCCCCGCACCATCTTCACCGGCCACCGCCTCCTCCTCCACGTGGACTTCGGCGACGCCGATAAAGTCGGCGTTTTCTACGGTGGCAGTGAGTGCCCGACACCGGGGTTTG